CCCCAGGTCCTGGACATGGTGTTCATGGCGCCCCCTGCCGGCCGCTACGACCTCGTGCTGCACCTCATGAGCTCAACATGGGTCGGGGCGGACCTGGCCATGCCCGCAAAGCTGCGCGTCGCGACGCTCACACGGTGCGGCCTGCTTTCCCTGGCCCCTGCCGGCCGCGTGGCTGCCGCCGGGGGTCGCGTCGGCAGTTTTGGGGGGTGGCGGCCGCTGTTCGCTGTTGAGCGTGGCGCTGCACGGGAGCGATGGGGGGTACGGGGCGCATCACCCTGGCGGCCGGGCCCAGATGGCGGGCCCACGCCTTGCTGTGCCGGCTGCTGGAGGGGAACGCATGCAGCAGCGACCACGCAGGTCGGCATCACGTCCTGCCTGCTGCGCACTGCTCTGGTGTGACTCAGCGCGTGCAAAACTGGCGCGCGCGCGCAGGGCGGTGGCGGAGGGCCGCGACCCCAAGGCCAATGAGCGGAAGCGCTTTGACAGCGACAGCGACGACGACGGCGAAGGTGGGCGGGCGGTCGTTGCGGTTCGTAGCGCTGCTCCATTACACGCCGGAGTCAGCTGGTTGTGACGCGGCCCTCGCACCTTGTGGTGGCTTGCGCCTGCAGAGTGGAAGCCTCATCATTTGCAGACACACATGCAAGCGCACGCGCACAGAGTCAAGCACGTTGCCCTCCCCCTGGCCCCCTCCCCCAGACCGCCACAGCGCCGCCAGCGGCAGCGAGGAGGAGGGCAGCGACGAGGAGGGCAGCGGCGACGACTACGACAGCGAGGAGACGGGGGAGCTGGAGAGCAGCGACGGGGGCGAGGACGGGGATGCTGACGAGGACGCTGACGAGGACGGCGGCGACGGCGGCAAGGCGGGGGCGGCGGCGGGCAAGAAGGATAAATAAGGGGCCGGGCAGCGCGGGCTTGACGGCTGTGTCGCTCATTGTCTGGTCTTGCTGTTGCCAGTCTTACGTTCTTTTTGAGCCAGCGCTATTTGACCCCACCCCTCAGGGGGGGTATCTTTGGCCCTGCTTCATTGCTGTGTAAACGGGTGATGTTACACGAGAGAGACTCGCCGCCGGCCGTGCGCCAGCTATAAACCATCAAGGCCCCATTCTCTGCGTCGAGGTGCGCCTGGCCAGGTTGTTGACAAACACCGGCTGCTGCGCGGCGCCGGTGCCGCTGACCGCGCCGCCGCCGCCGCCGCCGCTGCGGCCCTCGGTCGGCCCGCTTTGCGCCGCCGCGACGCTCTGGGGCAGGGGCTCGCCCTTGACCTGCCCGCCGGCCAGGGCGGCAGCAATGTCTGGGTCGACCTGGGTAGTTCTAGGGGCCGAGGCGGCGCTGATGGCCGCGGTGACGTCAGCGGCCGTCTGCGGCCCCAGCAGCGCCGGCAGCGCCGCCAGGGGCACCTGAGCCGTGACCGGCAGCGGCTGGGCCGCCAGGGTCGTCACGACCGGCGCCGCGGCGCCTGCTGCGGGGGCGGCGGCGGCCGCGTCCGCAGAGGGCAGGGGGCTGGCCGCGGCGTGCGCCACTGCGACGGCGCCGGCGGGTGTCGTGCTGGCGCCGGGCAGGGCGGCCTCCTTGGCGGACAGGGCGGCGACGACGGCGTCCTGGTGGTGTTGTTTGCGAGGCGGGATGGGCCTTGTGAGGCAACAGGGCAGAGCGCAGCGCGTGTTTGGCGCCAGTTGTTGCTATGGCAAACATGACGCAGGTGCATCTTTGGCGCCTGAGTTGCCCCGCATCCTGGGGCGTAGCCATCATGCATATTTTGCCCCTTTGCCAAATGCAGGAGTTGCCAACCCTGATAGTTCTGGTATAATGGGCATGAACCCAGGCTCGCACGGCAACCCCTCACACGGGAGCGTTGGGCGGCCCTGGCGCGCGCCGCAACCGCCGCCGCCGCCGCCTGCCCCAGCGTCTCCTGCGCCAGAGCGCCCTTCTGTGCCGCCAGTGCGCGCGTGTCCGCATCCAGCTGCTGCGCGCTCTGCTCGCCGCTTTGCCAGGCGTCGGCTGCTTTGGCACGGCCCTGGGCCACGAGGGATGTGGCCTCCTGCAGCGCGCCCGATGCAAGGTCTGCCAGAGCCCCTCCGACGCCTGCTACAAGAAGGGAGCGCCGCCCCAGTCCACTGTGCTGCGGCAGCGGCTCCAGCAGCTGCAGCGGCTGCGGTGGCCGCAGTATGAGGTGCGCTATGAAAGGTAGCATGGTAAGGGACATAAGGGCTGCTGCCGCGGCTGCTCGACTTGGGGACCCGTCGAGCACCATGTCGAATGGCAGGCACCTTGGACTGGCCAACAGCGGTGACGATCGAGCATGAAAAGGTCCAGTCAGACGTAATATGCACGATAAAGACGCTGACTGTGATGCTTGTTCAGCAGGGCACGTTTGAGAAGGACTTGGAGGTTGGCTTCCGACAGCAGCCAGATCGTCGTGACGCTGCGCGCCATGCCGCGTTTCATACAATAAGACGGGATGGTGCATTCTGGAGGAAAGCGCTTTACAGCATCTATCGCCCTTGCTGTCACTACTGTAGTGCGCAGCCCTTTGACGAGCGTGGTGCATGGACACACAGTCGCGTATTGCGTGATAAATCAAGGACATCATCGCAGCATTTTTCGAAGCCGACGAGCTTTTTCGCGTTGACGGCGGGCTGCCCTCGCCGCCCGCTCGTGCCTGCGCACGCGCTGCTCGCTGCAGCGGCGCCGCCGCGGTTAATAGTTTGGCGGCAGCAGGCCGGCAGCCATGTCGTATGATGAGGTGGAGATAGAGGACATGTCTTGGAGCGAGGAGCTTCAGGCTTACACCTACCAGTGCCCCTGCGGCGACCTCTTCCAAATCACCTTGGTGGGCAGCGGGGCAGCGCCGAACACGCATGCGCACAATTCAACACGCACCAGGCAGAACCTTGGCGGCAAAAGCGTCAAGGGGCTGCTAGGTGGTCAGACACTCCCTTCTCATGGTTTTGCAGCCTGCCGAGCTCAGGCGGCCCTGCCCCTGCTGCCGCACCCCCGCTCCTGTGCGGTCCTCATTGTCATACCAGGAGGAGCTGCGCTCTGGCGAGGAGATTGCGCGGTGCCCCAGCTGCTCCCTTTACATCACAGTCATCTACAACCCGGTGGGTCAGCGCAGCCGGCAGCTGCTGCACGGCATACATTGCTGCCCAGCTGCAGGTGATCCGACCGCTTCCAGCATGCTCGCTGTTTGGGGCGCATGATAGGGGGCCCCATGCAGCCGCACGCGCACTGGAGCGGGCGCGCTGACAGACTGCGCGCGGGGAGCTGTTGCATCATGACATCGCGTGCTGCTATGTTGCTGCTGCTGTGGCGTGTGGGCCACACCTTTTCTCTTCCAACGCTCCCACTGCCCCCACCACCCCGACAGGAGGACTTTGCAGAGGCCCCTGGCGGCGAGGGGAACGAGCAGCAGCACCCACCGCAGCCCAAGGAGGTGGTGGTGGCTTGAGCAGTTAATGCAGATGGTTGTTGGTTGTTTCTTCTTTCCTAGCAACGGTCTGGGTATCTTTCACTGCAGCCTGCCATTGCCAGTGGCATTTATCTTCACATTGCCGGCAGTGCTGGCGCCCAAGGCATCTAGTTTGATGGCAGATCCCTGCTTTTTAGACCTGAAAGACGCCTCTTTTTGCTGCAGCACGGCCAGGTTTGGCGCTGCGAGCGCGCCCAATGATGCAGCTTCAGCGGTTTTTGATGGTGTGTGACACAAAGTTGTCTGCAGCTGGTTTGCTGGCAGTTCAGAGTGCGTGTTGGTTTGGAGCGCGTGTAACATCTGGTCTGCATACTGGCAGCAATCCAGGCAGGGGCTGAGGGGACTGCTTAGCGGACTGCGCAATGGATGGCGTGCGGCGTTTTGAGCCCTACCTTTTGTGCTGGAAAGGGCAGAGCCATGCCCAAAAGTGCATGCACGGCAATCAGAAGTTTTGCGATGAGGGTGGGGGAAGTATGTAGCGCATGTGAAGCATGTAACCGTTGCACACCACGAATGGCACTCAAAGAAGGTCCCAAAACCGACACATCAAAGCCCAGTCCTGCTGGTTCAATTGTACGACACATGAAGAGGATGTTCAGGTTCCGTTGCAGCGCAGATCACCATACTCACTGCTTTGGGGTCAGGTGCAGCAAGCAGGCACCGGCCAGCAAACTATCTAAGCGCGCCCTCAGCGGAAGCATCCTTGCACCGAAAATTTTGTATGCACGCAGGGGTGATCAGTGCCTTGGCGTTTGTCTGTATACCAAATTCATTGGGGCCAAGGCCCCTTTGCCTATGCCTCTCCGCAGCAGGCGAGAGGGGCGGCGTGTAAAAACGACCAAATCACCGCGATACCAAAGGGACGAGGTAAGCTGGTCACCCTGGTCAGCTCTTGAACGCAGAGCTGCGGTGAGGGCAAAAGTGCCAAGCACATAGAACAAAATACAAGGATTGAGGGGATGAATGGACGGCATAAACCGCTCCACGCGGCGAGGGCGCAGGAGGCGCAAGGCAGGTACGCGGTGGGGTACGTGACGGAGGACAAGGTGATTCCACTGACGCAGGAGAGAGTTGATGGGCAGTTGCACGTGATAGGGCGCTGCAGAGCGCACCGCCGCCTGGTCGGAAGTGGGCGGCGTAATGAAGGCAAAGGGAAGTGGGTTCTGCCAGGCAGGGGTCTGTGATCACGTCCTGTCTGTGGCTAGGGGTCAGCACACCCCAGGGACGCAGCAAAACACTATAAGCAGTGCAACGCCGGTGCGAGGCAATTTGCGAGCAGATAGAGCTGGGTAGGTTCCTGTGCTCGTGGTATCCTCACGCCGCCGCGCTCACGCCGGCAGCGTGCACAGACGCCGCCGTCCTGAGGCGCGGGTGCTGCGCAGCAAAGGCGTCCAGGGCCGCTCCGCCAGCTGCCGGGCAGGACACGACCAACAGGGAGGCCAGGTTGGGCAGGGCCAGGAGGCAGGCCAGGCCGGCCTTGGTCAGGGTGTAGCCGCTGCCGGGCAGATAGTTGTGGTTGCGGCGGGACGATAATCATCAAACTGTTCTTTGTTTAAGTGGTGGTCTTCATATTTAATCAGTTGGCCGACGGAGGGGGGGGGCGAAAGGGGCGGCTGCCTGGAGTAGCTGGTACGAGCCACCTAAATCCGCCCTCAGGGAAGGGGGTGACATGTGGGTACCTGTTCTGCAATGCCTGCGAGACACACCGACAAGCAGCGGCCCCCCGCTCCAGCGCACCCGCGAAGTGAGACCTCTGTGAGCGTGGTGTGGCGCGACATGGCGGCCATCACGCGGTCTGTCACGGTGTCAACACCCTTGAGGAGGGGGGCGATTGTGGTGGGGAGGGGGTTGCGATGAGGTGATGATAGGTGCGAGACCCCTCCAATGCGTGTGCACGGCGCACGGGGCCTCGGCTGGGGCTCAGGCGGTTGCTTCGAAGGGAAAAGGAGCGGCAGAGGGCGCACGGCCCGCGCATGTGCGTGCGTGTTCATGAGCCTGGTGCATCCGCTCGGTGTGAGCCAAGCAACCACCTATAACCAGCCGGCTGGCAGACGCGAGCGTGGCGCTTGGCGGGCCGGCCTATCAGGCTTGCCGGGCTCACGGTAATGTGCAGTGCCTCGAGGCGCGGCAGCGGCGGCAGCAGCTCCAGGCCCTTTGACGCGGCGCCCCCGCCAAACGCCAGGCGGCGCAGCGATGTGCCAAAGGCGGAGGTGGGGGCGCGCAGCAGGGTAAAGCTGCCCACGCTCAGCGACGTGAGCGCACGGCAGGCTGCGGGTGACCGGTTGATTCAGGTGATGGGAGGACAGAGGGCCTGGTTTCAGGTTGCGCCATCCCCAGATAGCGGCGAGCAGTTGCGAGCGCGCCTGCCTCAACTTCTGGCGTGCTGAGCAGACATGCTGAGCAGATCCCTGGGGTCAGTCAGGTCCCCACATCCCTGAGCCGGCGCTGTGGCTGCAACACCTAGGCTAACAGCGGCCCCGTCACGTCGAGCGGTAAGCCCTCAAATCCATAGTAGTGGTATACTCCACTGGAAAAAAGGCACCCACCTGCCAGGCCCTCCGCGGCCGCATCGTCCACCACAAATCTTGCCCCCAGGTCCAACTCGCGCAGCCGCGGCAGCGCCGCCACATGCCGTAGGCCCGCCGCGCCCACCGCGCCCCCCGGGTCCCGCAGCTCGAGGGCCTCGAGGGATGATATCCTCGCCACGCAGCTCAGCGCATCGCCGTCGATGCGCGCGCAGCCGGACAGGTCGAGGCGGCGGAGGCGCGGCAGCGCGGAGAGGTGGTCGAGGGCGGCCGGGCCGGCGGCGGTGCCGGCGAGGGAGAGGGCCTCCAGGGTCGTGATCTGGCAGGGGCGCCAGAGTAGTGGGCCCGTGATGTCACTCAGCGTCAGATGCTCCATGGGGCCCGCATTCTATGTGGTCGCTTGCAAAACGCCGGAGACCCTCCGACTCCACATCGCGGTTGAGCGACGGCGGATGTCTGCCCCCACCCTCCCACCCACGCACCACGTCATCAACAACCACACCTTTGCCAGCGTGGCGCAGCCGGCGTCGCCGACCCAGCGGCAGCCCGCCAGCGTGAGAGACCTCAGCCGCGGCAGGGTTGTCAGCGCCGCCAGGCCGCCGTCGTCCAGGCCGTCCGCGTGTGACAGGTCCAGCTCCTCCAGGGCAGCCAGGCGGCAGATGGCGGCCAGGGTGATGCTGTCGGTCCACCTACAAGGGGGTCAATTGGGGTGCGCATAGTCACAGAAGGGGAATGTGCAGGGTCAGGAGATGGGGTGAAGGGACGGCCGCGTGCTTCGCATGGCACTGTGCTTCGGCGTGGCCTGCGACGCGTCAAGGCAAGGCGACAGAGCCCCGCGGCTGCGGCAAGGCGAGATGCAGGCTGGGTGCCAGGAGGGGTCCTGAGGATGGGCAGGTCTGTCGCACCTGCTGGCCGACAGGCGCCTCAGCGCGGGGCAGCTGCTGCGCAGGAAGGCCAGGAGGGGGCGGCCGACATAGTGGCAGCGCTTCACGTCGACCGCGTGGATCTGAGATAGGATCTACAGTGGGTGCCATGTCAGGGGAGGACAGGGGTTGGGACTGGGGCTTTTGTGTGTGAATGGGTGTGTGTGTGACTGTGTGTGTGTGTGTGTGTGTGAGTGAGAGGGGTGTCCACAATAAGACGTGGACCGGTGCCGGCATTCAGCTGCGTCTTGCGACAGGATGGCACGGCAGCAGCATGCCAGCAGCGGCCAGGGCCAGGCGGAAGAAGCGTGCGGCCGCGTTGCCCACGACCACGGACCACGCAGCGCTCCCTGCCAACCTGTGGCCCGGTGCTGCCCAGGAAGCCCGCCAGGGTGTCATCAGCCAGTGTTGCGTCCTGGCAGTCAAACACCTCCACTGCCGCCAACCTGGGGAAGCGGCGACCCAGCCACCGTGGTGCCGCGGCCGTGCCAGCGGCGGCGCGCGGCGATAGGTCGCCGGCGGCGAGGCGGATGCGAGTCACAGTCTCATTGACCAGCTTGCGAGTTGTGGGGAAGGCAGCCCTGGGCGTGGCAGTTGCCGGTCCACGGACGTCGGTCCGTGTGAAAAGGTGAGGTAGGACGGTCAGGCATGGCAATAGTGGCCCAGGTGCAATAGGTCTCTTGGAGGATTGAGGCTGCCCCTGGCAGCCTGCCCCTGGCAGCCAGCAACCGCGGGTGAAGGTGTTATGTGCCCCACCCGCACGCAGGCGGCGCATGGCGTCAGCGAGCTGCATGCATGCGTGCCCCAGCTGCACCGCGTCCCCCACGCTACGCTCAACCACGCACCTGAGTGCCTTCTTGTCTGCCCCTCTCAGCAGCGGTAGCACATGCAGGCGCAGCACGCAATCAGGCAACGCATCCAGGCCGTTGCCCGTGGGCGGCGGCGCGCAGAGGCGGCGCTCAGGGACGTCGAACGACAGCTGGCAGCTGCATGAAGCGTGTGTTGTGGAAGCAGATAGGCCTACGACCCGATGCGTGGGAGCCGCTCTCATTCGACTGCCGATGTTGCTGCGGGGGGTGCGGGAAACGGTACTCTTGCTGTGACCTGGTGCTGGCGTTTGCATCACCGATGCCGCCGCCGCTCATCCATGTACAGTAGCTGCATGCGACGAACGGCAGAACCCCACCGCTTTTGGGCGATGACCAAGATGACGTACAGTGTGAAGCGCGAAGATCGAGATGCCCGCGCCATCTCGAGCACTCCCGCAAGCTGCGACTGGCCTCATCCCCGCAACAGATGGGATAAAAGAAGCTCGTTGATCGACATTCAGTCCGACTTACTGTAAGTGGTGGTTCCTGCGTGGCGTGTGTAGATGCAGGAGCAGGTGCTGCACTGTGTCTGTACACGAGGCAAGTGCCTATAATGCGGATTACATGATCTTATGTAGCGGGTGTGTATCGTAATCTGACTGCTGCTCAACATTGTGCATAGATCATGCTTGATCGTTTGTAGGTGTGACAGCTGGTGGCGATATTCAGTTGCTACATTGCTGCAACTCATCAACCATGCCTCATCGCTGTGCAGTGGCCGCAGGCGATACGCTCATGAATATCTGTAAGTATGGCAGACTCTATGAGAGGCGTTGCGCCAGGTGGGGTCTTCGCTCGAGCACACCAAAGTCAGGAGTCGCCGGCGGGCAGCTGTCAGGCGACCTGCTTCATTGGTGACAGAGGATATATCATCATCATAGCGCGAGGCACGCACAAGTCTTCTGCTAGCTCTGTTGGCGTGCTCTTGCGTCTCAGGTCAACATGATCAGCGGTCATTGCCTTTTTCAAATGGACAGGACGCCCTCCCCCCCCCCCCCGGGTGTTGCAGGTCCTGCGGTGTTCCAGCAAACTTACATTCTTGGCAGCACTCCAATCCTGTGCCAGTTGCCACCACGGCAAACGAAAATTCTCCTCTCCTTAGCCTGCATCTTCTTGATGTTGCCACAGCCCCAGAGGCCAGCCTTCGCACGCGTGCGCCCCGGGCTAGCCTGCAGTACAGCAGACGCGCCCGGCCCCCGCATGATGCGAAATACATGGGAGGGTGCCCACCGTATTCCAAACCGCTGGCAAAGCCGCCAAATGTGCCAGTTGACAGCATCTAGACCCGGCAAAAGCGGCCTCAGCTGACAGGCAGGCTGTGCAATGCAAGACTTCAGAGCTCTCTGATTGTCATCTTTGAGCTCCGCCACTGGCACATTGGCCAGAACTGCGACGTACTGCGGCAATTCCGCCCCCCACACCCAGTGCACTGCTGGGTGTGGTTTGCCACGTGATGCTGCAGGAGAAGCCAGCAAATCAACCATCGGTGTGAGTGCTGGAGGTATGTTGCCACACCCACCAGGCACGGACCGATGCCATTGGGGATGGTTGCACATGTATGGACTTGAAAAACTGCGCCCGCGCAAGCATGGCCCACTGATATGAGCAAAACCGCACTCATATCTCACCAAGCAATGCTATGCGCCCTTTCGTGTTTGATACCGCCGCTGCCGGGTGATTTCATTGTCTTACAAGTTGTGACATGATGAAAAAATTGTTGACAGCATGAAGCCACTACATGGCTGGCTGTCGGATACACACGGGACATGAGGGTAATAAAGCATAAGTGCGATATTCATCAACAGTCATCCCTTGGACAGTCCTGCACAGCACAGTCAAGACGTTGTCGGCGGTGCCACGCATGCATCAATCAAGACTCCCCTCTTGAAATGAGGCCTGGAATCCTCAAATGGAGGCTGTGTCAGCATTGCAACCTCAAAATATGAGACCAGTCTGCGCTCGAAGCAACTGCATGCACACAGTACTTGCATGGCGGGACTAGTCCCGCCATGGTCAGCTGATCGCCCCCCGGGACCAGCCTGCATCCTGTCCACTGCCCATTCCAAAGTGCACACCTCCGTGGCGCTCCTGAAACCACACATTTCAGCTCAGCATGATGAAGGATGACCTGCAGAAAAGCGACAAGCCGGATACATTTGGACTATTAATGGCTGAGCTGCCTGTACCGCCCGCGCCCGATTGGCTCCGTTAGCAACACAAATAGGCGGCCGATGGCAGCGGCGGCCCCTGCATGGCCAAGTCTCTAGACGGTTCACAGCGCTGCTTTGAGCACGCGCGGACCAAAAATATGAAGCTCCTTCAAGCCAAGTAGACTGCATGGAAAGCGCCATAGGGCAGCTTGCCCACAACGTCGCGCACAGGCTCCGGGCAGGCCTCGCAGGTGACGACGCGCCCGGCCACTGTCATGCGCGGCGCCGCGAGCCAGTAATCCTCGAGATACCGGCTATAGCCGTCGTCGATCATGACAGGGCCCAGGTCGCCATTAGGCAGCACTGCGTGCAGGCGCGCGCCGCCCTTGAGGACAGGTGTTTTGTCGAACAGCATCTTGCGCGGGTGCAGCACCTGCGCATCCCCCACGAGCGAGCCCAGCGCCCTCAGCTGCCGGATCCTCTCGTCGCCGCTGCCGCAGGGCGTCAGGCGCAGCAGCCGCATGCCGACGCCCTGCAGGGCGTCCGCGCTCGTGTGGTTGGGGGCGAGGATCATCGGCTTGTTGTTGGCGTCGCGCAGCAGCGGGTAGAAGCAGCCGCCGAAAACGACGTGCGTCGCCGTCCACAAGGTCAGCGGGGACTCCGACGCAGCGGCGGCGGCGGCGGCGGCAACGGCCTGGGAAACGGCCGGGCTCAGTGCCGCCGACGCGGTGCCACCGGCGCCGGCGCGGAGGGCCGGCGGGGCGGCGGCGTCGGCGGCGGCAAAGAGGTCCGGCAGTGCGCGGCGCAGCGCTTCGAGGAAGCCTGGGTGCGCGGTGACGTGGGCCTCGCAGTCTGCCTCGTAGGCAGCAGCGTCGCGCCCAAACGCATCTTGTCTGCTGCCGCTTTTCAGGAGCACCTCAAACTTGGCATGGAAGCCGCGGGTTGGAGAGCCCGGCTCCTGAAGCCAGCTTTTGCCGCCATCGAGTGAGGTGGCATCCTGGTGGTTGGAAGCGCACAAGGGCGAGCGGACAAGTGCGGCTTGCTCTGGGGAAACGAACCATCCAGCGCCGCAGTGACAATGCCCAGCGCGTGCACCCAGCGTTATCGCCGAGGGAGGTGGTGCATGGCCGCTCTCGACTGTGCGCGAGCGAGGACATCTTGATGCCCTTGCTACCTACTCTGCTGTTGAAGATACCGTTGGTGCTGACGGGGCCGCGAACAGCACGTGCAGGCTGTACGGCTGAGCCGGCAAAGATCCCCTTGTGGGCCCAGCTGGCGCCGCCAGAGTGCGGGGACTGCATGGGTTTGAAGGCGGCTGGTACTTGAGCGTGCGAGGTGCAGGATGCTTGCTTTCAGGCCGCGTGGAGACTACCAGTCGTAACTCGATAAGACAAGCGACGAATTGTGTGGCCCGTGCGTGTGATCATGTCACGTTACGCGAACAGCGTAGAGCTGAACAAACAATCGTTGTAACTGAAGGGCGACAAGTTGTCATACAGAGGCCACGCATCACACTGCGCGCAGCCCGCAGGCAGGTAGCCGGGCCACAGCAGCAGTAAGGTGCACGCACCTTGCCAGTGCCTTTGGCAGAGAACGTGCTCGGGTGCAATTGAGCTGGCACACTCATCTGTTTACAGTCCTAATTGGTACAGGCACATTTGTGACGCTGATTACCTCAATGGCCGTCCCTCATCACCATCTGGCAGAACAACATTTTGGTGTGGCTGTCAGGGACTGACAACTGCCTCGGGCGCCAACCCGGAGGCTGCTGCAGGACGTGTCGAATGTGCCAGCCACCAACTTGCAAGCAGTCTAGCATACAAACCTGAAGGGTGTCTTGCAGGCAGTCAAGGGCAGCCAGCGACGCTGAAGCTGGGCGCACAAGCCGTTGCTGTGTGTGCGCGTTCTTCATTTGCCATGCGCCCGGCACCATACCCTGCACTCGCCGCGGTACACAGTGGATGGTGTAACACATGGCGCCGTACTGGCCGGACCCAAGGACGCAAAGACAAGCAGAGTCCCTGCAATCTCTGAAACATGCGGCCCCTGAGCTTGCAGCAGGAACTAAGGAAGGGCAGTCTGAATCACTGTGTCGCTCATTTCCAGCTCTGGTGACGCAGCAGTGCCATCAGTATGTACCCCCTGCCAACGTCAGCGGGAGACGCAGCCCTAGACTGCCCTGTTACAAAGCCCTGGCCAGCAGCTGCTCGCTCTGAATCCACTATGGTCGCTACCTGAGCCTCACAGGGACCGCCCCCACCTTGCGCCGCAGCTGCCCGCGCAGCGCCGCGCGCGCGGCCGCTGTCGCCTGTGCGGCGGACTTGGCGGCCGCAACGTGGGGCTCGTCCGGTTCTGCGGGCAGCACGCGGGCCCGGGGGGTCAGGCCCAGCAGCCGAGCCGCTGCGTTGCCAGCCTGCGCGTCAGCGACCGAGGGGCAAGATGTTAAGTGTATGGTATCGAATGTTGTCAGGAGTTCGGGGATGTTCAGCGCTAGCAAGATTACCCAAACGCACCACCTGCCCGTAATCGGGGTGGTGACACCCCCACATGTATGTATCATAGCTGACCGCGAGCTTCCCTGCCATGCTTGACCCGCGTACATTGCCCAGCCGGTTGGGTGCGTGCCCACATGCGCACGTGTCTGCGGCCTGTCCCAACCCTCTCACCTGCAGCCCCGACACGTACGCCTTCTCCTGGCTCAGCCCCTTGGCGCCATGCGTTCCGGGCCCCTGCTGCATGCAGTCCCCCGCCGTGAACACGTTGGCAATGCTGCTGCATATCGGCGGCAGCGCAGTCCCCGACCCGGGAGAAAAGACGGTCGTCGCGTTCTTGAAGCGCAGCACGCTCGCATCCACGACGCCGGCCGGGGCGACGCCCGCGACGCCGTGCGGCGGCTGCAGGGCGGCTGGGAGGTAGCTGGTGAGGAGCCGCTGGATGACGTCATCGTCCGTCATGGGCAGCAGGGTGTCTGCGTGATAGATGTCAAACTCCAGGACTGACCCAGGATCGGATGAATACTCATCCTGGAGTTGCAATCGGGAGTGTCGCAGGTTCAGGGAAGAGCGTGGCATCAGGGTTGCAGGGTGCAGCATCATGTGTTGGAGCACGCATCACATTCTGCTGCTGGCTTGAACGTTGGCGGTGCGTAGTGGGGCCCCACAACACGGAGCGCTTGAGAGAAGTCAGGGCGTGGACAGGGGGCCAAGTTGCTGTTGGGCCGTGTGCAAGCGAAAAACGTGGCGGAAGGTGAGACACCACCAGTAGCAAATGCGCCCCGCCATACTGCAAGCAGGCACGCGGGGTGAGTGTCAGCAGACCTGCAGCGCGCTCAGGTTGAACAGGGTGGCTCCAGAGCCCGCGTCAAAGCCGGACAGCACGTTAGAGCTGCGGCGAGGGTATGAAGATCAACACGGGGATTGACATGAGGGTGGGTGTGGAGGGCAACTGGCCCTGCGGGTCAAACACATGGCTCGCCGCAAAGCCGTGTGTAGTGCGGCGACAGTCCAGGCACCAGGGGGGGGGGTGCGCCATGTACAGCATGTGTGCAAGCTGTCCATGATTTTGCTAGCTCCTTTCGCTGACACACCTGCCCGAGCCGCCCGCCCCCCACCTGAACTGCAGCGGCAGCTTCCTGTCCAGCCACACCCGCGCCGCCAGCACGTCGCTGCAGCGCACCGCCCCCGCCGCCCGCAGGTCTTCCGCCGCCGCCAGCACCGGCGAGCCCGCCACGATGCGCTGCGTGGCGGTGACGCCGGCGGCGAGGACCACTGCGTCTGCCGGGAAGGTCTCCGCGCCGCTGGGCCCAGAGGCGACCACTGCCCCGGGCAGGGGCGAGCCCGGTGCGGGCAGGACCTGCTGGACTCGCCGGCCCCCTGGCGGTTGGGTCGGCGGTTGGGTCGGCGGTTGGGTTGGCGGTTGGGTCGGCGATTGGGTCGGTGGTTGGATCGGCGGTTGGGTCGGCGCTTGGGTCGGCAATGTTGAGTTGCGAAATGGGGTCGGTAAGCTGGGTTGGCAGGTGGGTTGACAGTTGCGATGGCCGTTGGGTTGAAAGTTGTGTTGGCAGTTGGGTTGGTGGCTTGGGCTGGCGCGTTGAAGTGGCCAGTTGGAATGGCGGGAGATTTGGCAACCAGAGCGGTGCTCAGAAAGCTGGCCAGGGTTGCGCCGCCGGGGACAGCAAACATGGGCGGCAGGCACCCGGGCAGGGGGGGCCGGAAGGGGCAACAAGACCGTACGCTCAGCGCGTGTGCCCCCTTGCCGGCCGAGGGCATGAGAGTGGGATGCGTGTGGGCGGTCAGCAAGAGGCCAGGTGGGGTATGAGGAGGTGGGGCGGGCGCCATGTTCCAAGCTGCCCGACTCACCCAGGATCTCGACACCCAGGCTCCTCAGGTGGTCCGCAAACGGCGCCATGATCAGCTGCCCCACTGGGCCCCTGGCAGTGGTGGCACAGGGCAGGGAGCAGCAGGGGTGCACTCAGCGCAGCGGGGCTAAGCCATGGCAAGGGTCATAACACCGCAGTGATCGCTGGCGCCTGGGGCGGCCTGCTCTGTCGCCTGCCCCATGTGAACAGGTTTGGAGGGCGACAGCACACGACTTCAATAATTCATAACATCTTTGATCGATATGCTGCGCGGCCGCAACCCGCACGATGACACATCCGAGCCATCTGCGTCCCCTTGCGCCGCCCTGCCGGCGCCAAGGCGGCCGCCTGCGCCTGCTTGCAACCCCCACCTGCACCATTGAACATCCCAGTTCGCCTGGTGCGCCAGGGCAAAATAGTACAGCGTGCCTGTGGGGGCCCAGGGGGGTCAAGGGCGTGCAGGCGGGGTACTGGGGATATGGCGCTGGGCTGCTGGGGGGGGGGGGCAGACAAGCGCAAGAGCGCATATTGGACGCAACAAGGCATAAACAGCCTGCTTGATGCTGCAGCTTGCACAAGTGCTACACCCCAGCCCGCATGGCTGGAGGCTGCAAGGCAACGTATCCCCTGGCCAAGCTCCGAGCGCGCAGCTCGCAGCCGTGACGACGCACCCAGCGCAGCGGCGGCGGAGAGCTCTGTTGGCGGCGCAAAGAGCGTGACCAGCAGCATCGGCTCGAGGAACGCCCTGTAGAGGCGGGCGCTGACGCCGGCCTCCTTGAAGAGCGTGTATGCTGACATGGCGTCATACCTGGTTGCAGGGGTGGTTCAATGGTGATGTCAGCATCCGCGGGCCCAGGAGAGGGGGCAACTGAGAAAAGAGACGGCTGGGTATTGGGGGCAGGTGTGCATGAAGAGCGGGGGGCGGGAACGGGGCCTGCTTGGTGGAGGCTGCAGCGGCAGCGGGGCCTGGTGAGGGCAGCGTCTGTGGGGGTGTTGCCCACCAGCAGCTTGCACGACCGACCCTGTCCGCTTCCACCCACTGGCTGTGCATGCAGCACCACAAAGACCTGCAGCATGCCGAATCTCTGGCCCACACAGACAGCAAGCAAGCACAGTCAAAGCCGATTTTCTACACAAGCCGACCACCATGGCGCACCTGGCGTAAGTGTCCTCGTCAGCATCGTGCTCCAGCAGCGGCTGCACCAGCCCCAGCGCGCTCAGTCGGTCTGCCGCCGGCAGGCGGCGGAAGAGGGTGGCGGTGTGGAACAGCGTGCCCAGGGGGGCCGGCAGGCGCGGCAGGTCGGCAAACACGGGGGACTCCACCTGATTGGTTGCGACCAGGGGCGAGGGTGCTGCTGGTCAGCGGTTCCAGGGCAGGATTCCAGGGGGAATTGCTCAACCTACCCTCAACAGCCGTGATGGCCATGTGCGGGTGGCTCCGCCGCAAAAGCTGTGCAAGCCGACCGCGGCGGCATGAGGTGCGAGACTAACCGCGGCGCGGGTGCCCGACAGCAGCCGTCGCCTCCGCGACGCAGAGACCCAGCACCGCCACCACTTCACAGCAAGCAAGCGCCCAGATGCGGACAGCAGCGAGCGCTCAGCGGTGGCTGGCCCCTTGTTTTGGCCCCACCTCCAAGCCGTCTGGCGTGTAGAATCCCGACCGCGTAAACGGCGTCAGCGGGTCCGCGGGAAGCTTCCCCTTCAGCTCCCGCCCCAGCAGGTCCTGTATGTTTGAGTAGCACCGCCAGAAGCCCTTCACACCCGGCTCCACGACGCGGCCGCCTGCAGGGCACGGCGTTGAGGGGGGCGGGGGGGTTGGGGCGGGTCGCAGAGCCGCGTGGGCCGGGGACGAGTTGTGGAAGGCTGGTGGGGTTGGAGGTGCGAGGCTCGCGGCTGCATGCGAGGCGGCTGCTGTGCTGGCGAGCAACACGGGCCTGCGAAACCTGACAATGGAAAGTGCCAACTGGAAGTCGTGCGGGCTGCCGCTGGTCTGGCAAGTGCTGAGTTGCATATCAGACAGCCGTGCACACATATACAAAAAACCAGCACCAATTTCAGCCTGCAGAACCGAGCGAGTATGCACAGGCATGCTGCAACATGGCCGAATCGCGCACCTGGCGTGACGAATGCGCTGGACAGGCCCCCCGGGTTGGCGGCCGCATCCAGCAGCGTCACCTCCGCCCCCGCCTTGGCCAGCGCCAGCGCGGCGCCAAAGCCGCCCCAGCCGCCGCCGACCACCACGGCGCGCCGCTTTTGTGGCGGCGAGGGGCCGCCCGACGGGGCTGCTGCGTGGGACGTTTGCGGGGGGGCAGTTGTGCCTGCGGGGCTGGCCGCAGGACCGTCGACGCCGCTGCTGCGGCCTTCATTGGAGGCAGGTTGAGGACCCCATCCAGGCGGCAGCTGCTCCCCGATGTCGGCGGCCTGCGCCAACGTGCGCGCCTCCCGCAGCGCGGTTGCTATGCGCCAACGGCGGGTGTGAGGCTGCAGCGGCACTACAGGGACGCAAGTGCCGCCTCCACACCGCCCCAGGCTCGAAGGCCGCTCGAGCATTGCAAGAAATCAGTTGTTCCACTTGATTTTGCTCTTAAGTATCCCGTCTGACACCATGAGATCGGCAAGCATTCAACGCGAGAGCTCTTTGACAGCGATTAGAAGAGGCGGAGACAGTGGGATGAGACGGAGGATTGCTTGCGGAGTCTTCTCGGCCCCATCAGCCGATCGCGGCTTCCTGCCGATCGCCGATCCGCTGCCGAGGTGGGCGCGCACGTCACCCACCCATGCTCCGCCGCCATGTGGTGCATTCTCACTTGAGCGTATGGCTCAGGCAGCCAACCCTCCATCACTCAATTGCTTGTGAGTGTCCCAATTCCCTACACCGCAGGCTGACTGGCGGGGAGTTTGCTGCGTGGGAGGCGGCCATGGAGGACCTCCCAAAGCTGGCCGTGGCAGCAGGCGGCGGGCAGCTGCGGCGGCGGCTCGAAGCGCTCCCGCCCTTCCCTTCAGACGCCGTCCTGCTGCCTGCAACAGCAGGGGCTGCTGATGTTCCTCCAAGCGCCGGGCAGCAGGCGCAGCGGCAGCAGCAACGGCAGCATGAACAGCAGTGGCGGCGAGATCCAGCGGGCGGAGGTGGTGGGGACATCGCGGCCAGCGGCGGCGGCGCCGAGCTGTGGCGGGCTTACCAGCTGCTCTCGTTTCTGGCCCATGCATACCTCTGGTGGGGTTGGCAGGGGCGCTGGCCAGCCCCATGGGGCAAGGGGTTTGAGCAACTGCAATTCACTTGCTTGCAGGAGTATCACACACACATCACTACAGGTCGAATGCATCAGTGGGGCAGCCTGTGTGCGAGGGACCGGGTTCGTGGCGGCCTTGCAGTCTGGACACAGAGCTCTTTACTGAACCGCCCGCAGGTGCGACGGCCCTGACACGCCGCAGCAGCTGCCCGCAGTGCTGGCGTGCCCATGGTCGGCGGTGGCGCGGGCGCTGGACATGCCGCCGGTTCTGGTGTACTCGGTGAGGAGACTCAGGCGTTTTTGAAAGCGCGGAACATACTGCAGCAACCACGCGGCCGATGCAGCCGCCTGACGCAGCACCGAGCTGCCCGTCAGACTCACCTGTTCGTTGGCCGCAGCCGGCTTTGTCGATGGCGCACCGCACCATGAGCGCCACCTGCTGGCAGGGCGGCAGCGAATGCTCGCACACTCCGCCAGATGCAGTGGCTGTGAGCAATGGCACCGAGGACTCCATCACTGCCGACTCCGCGCTTAGGGGCTGCACACGAAACAGGGTTGGCCGTCGTCAACATCCCGCCCTCTGCCCTGCAGACATACAACCTGCTCAACTGGCGGCGCCTCGACCCCTCCGGCCCCATCGCCCTGGGCAACATCGTCTGCCTCAACGTGTGCGGCCCCCGCGACACCCTCCTCCAGGCGTTGCAGCCCCGCGCGCGGCCATATGCTGTGAAGGGCAGCCCCCTATCTTGCCCAAACGGCCTCCCCCTTCATGTTGGGTGCAGGTGCAGCAGCTGCCAGCGGCAATGTGCAGTACGTGGATGGTCCGCAAGGGTTTGCAGATGTCCCACTTTTGAAGCAGCGGGGTGACCGCCGCACTGCTGTATATGCGCACGTTGCTGCTGCCCTGCCTCCCGCAGAACTTCCTGGGCGGGGTGGACGAGGAGTGGTTCCGGCTGGTGCACGTCAGCATAGAGGCCGCGGCCGGCCCCGCAATGGCGCGGCTCGAGGCTCTGCAGGAGGCGGCGCGCAAGGTGGGCAGAAGGGTGCCAGGCCCCAGACAGAGATAGCTTACATCAAACAAATCATCTGGCGGCACATGTGCGGAGGGCTCGTGCGCTCACTGAACGGGTGCTCCAGGGAATGCGACAGAGTCTTTGCATCTGTGGATGCAGGACTCTTCCATCCCACGCACTGTAGTTCCTTCCTCAGTAAACCACTGCTTCGCCCCACCATTGAATTCGGCATCGCACCGCGCTCTCCAAGCGCCTCAGGATGACGTGGAGGGCATGGAGGCGCACCTGGGGGCCGTGCAGGGCGCGCTGGCGGAGATGCAGCGGCTGCTGTCACGCATGGTGGGAGGGGCGGTGGGATGAACCCTTGCAGCTGGTGTGTTGGTCTGCTCGTCGCTGGCTCGGGCAGCCGAGAGCCTCTCGTCCCTGTCTCTCAGCCTTCAGCAAGGCCTAGCGGTCATTCTTCCTGCCCATGACGCACACAGACATGTATGCTAGTGCGACCGCGCACAAGAGAGTGCACGTGCGTATCCAAGCGTGCGCCCACAAACACACACACATACATAAGCTACATGAGAAATCCCCAACACACACTCCATCTCGGCCAGGGTGAGAAGTGTGACCCTGCGGTGTACTACGCCCGCGTCCGCCTGCCCATGAGTGGCTGGCGCGGCAACCCGCGGCTGCCGGCCGGCCTGCTGTACGAGGGCGTGGCGCCAGAGCCGCTGCAGCTGTACGGGGAGACCGGCGCGCAGAGCAGCGTGGTGGCGGCGATAGACGCGGCCCTGGGGGTTGAGCACGAGTGCGGCTGGTGGGCTGCGGGGGGCTGGCGCAGCCTGGGGCCGAGGGCGGTGCGGCGCTCAGGCATGGCAGAGTGGTTGCACGGCGTGTGCATCCTGCGGCATGCCATGGGAGCAGGCAGGGCGCCACGCTGACAACATACAACAGCAATGTGCTCGACGGCAGAAGCAGGCAACCAACGTCGGCCCCCACTGACCAACCGACCGTCCAACCCCCGCTGCACCTGGGCAGGCTGCGCGACTACCTGCTGACAATGCGCCAGCACATGCCGCCGCCCCACCGCCGCTTCATACAGCGGCTGGAAGCCGCCGACGCCGACGCCGCAG